GCCTGCCACTCGTGAGGGCTGAGCATGGACAATGACAGTGCTTGTGCCATGTCAAGGTTTTGCAGTAACAGTCCTGGTACTCTGAGCTCCTTCTTGGCTGCCTGTGCTTGCTCATGCATGTCCAAAGGGTTTCACTGTGTGTGGTGAGCAGCTGCTCCTTTTCCTCCAGTCTGATACTGCTGCTTATCAGTGGCTGGGATTAGGCTGTAGCGTTTTGTACATGGCAAGGGCTCTAATGAGCTAAAGTCACTCTGGAGGCATTTTTCTCTTATTTGGTGAAGTTCCCAATCGGTGCACATGTTGCTGTTTGCTGGCTCCTCTTTTTGTTTTGGGTTATTTGGTTCTGTCTCCTTCGTCTCTGTCAAGAGAGCAGTTAGGTGGGCATTTCCCTCTCTGCCTCTCCTACCACTTTCCATGCTGGAGTGGTGGCTTTTACCTCTATTCCAGGTGTGTTTGTCACATCTGTCCAGCTACATTGCCTTAACCCATGTGCTGTCTCAGTATTTGTGGGCTCCTTCTCTAAGTACAGCCATTGCTGTGACTTTGTTTGCATTTTTTGAGATTTAGATCTGCTCTTGTCCATACTCTTGCTTGCAAGATGGTCTTGTGTAACCCACAATGTTTCTGTTTAGTTTGTTGTTGACAAAAAGGTTTGTGGACTCAGGTGAAGAACATTGATCATTTCTTTCTTTATTTCTGTCCAAAACCTACTATTTTCCTGGGGAATTCCTGGAGAATTCCAGCCTTCCTTCATCTCCTTTGCAACTGTAATGGTTTTGGTTGCGTTTCTATCAACTGTCTCTTTCAATGCTGGATTTTTCTTTTATATATATATAAAATAATCATCTAGCTTTATTTAGAAGGTGAAAATCCTTGCCACTACTTTTCAAGTCTCTTAGTAGACTTGAACCACTCTTGTGTACACAGATATTTTTTGGAAACCCACCTCATGTGGTGTTTGAATTGGCCTGTCTGCTTGCTTTGTTTTTAGGGGTTGATTTGCCTGCTCAGTTGTAATTCCTGGGCATCCCACTAAACTGAGTGCTGCTCCAGGCTTTTCTTCTTCCCACCAGCAGAATAAATGTAGGTTGTAAGAGAGACTCTGGGATTCTCCTGAAACTTCTGCAAATTCCTGTGAACTGGACTTCTCAGATCCACTTCAGAGGCTGTTCAATTAGTGGGAAACCGTCTGACTGGATTAATTGAGCCACGAGGTCCAAGCCTGGGGTGAAAGTCAGAATTGGATCCAAAACCACATTTGTGAAGTGTTCAGGAGCAGAGGACTGTGACTGCTTGGTCACCAGGCAGCACTATTGGAATAGCCACAGGGAAATGACTCAATATAATTACTGTTTGATTATCTACAACTCCTTTATTTGCATACTTCAGCAAGCCAGGTCAGTTTTCTCTACTACAGGCTTAGTGGCCAAATGGATTTTGTTGATATTTTGGACTCCAGGTGAAGCTAACCCTTTTGTTTGTGGCTAATGGCTCACAGCCTCATTTCAGTTGGTTTTCAAGTGTGGTTTCAGGCACTTGGTCTGTGCAGCTTCATGTAAATTTTAGTGAGGAAATGCTGTGGTGTCCATACACGTGTTTAATTGAAACACTGCTCTGCCAAGACAGTTTCCTCCTCCTCTGGAGTTCAGGACCTTGTCATCAGCAGACAGCAGGTGAATACGACTTGGGCAGAAATGAGTTGTGCAAATATTTCTGCCTTCACTCCTACCCAGCCCAGACACATTCCTTCCAGTCAGCCCAGAGGAGTGGAGTACAGGGAAACACTGTCTGACCTCAGCAAGAAGTGCCAGAGATGTTTCACTCAGATATTCATGCCTTGGCAAGAGGAGTACACTGCCCTGAGCTGTTTCATAAGCTTTTCTAGTTTTGGGGCTCTTGACTCAGAGACCTGACTCTTGCACCCAGTTTGCTCTTTAATCTTTTATTTCTTTTGAATAGGACTTGGGGCCAAGAAGGGAGAATAGCTGGACTTTAAGTTCAACTACTGGGAAGTGCATTTGTTTTTTGCAAGTCTAGAGAATGTTGAGGAAGGCTTAATGTACTGAACAAATAGGAAGTGTGAGTTGCTGCTGCTTCTGTGCAGTTTTATTGCTATCCTGCCTTCTCTGCATATTCATGCTTTGTTCAGCCAAGTTTACCTCCAGCAAATGCTGCAGCAATAATTGTTTTGCAAAGAACTACAATGAGAGCGGTGCCTGCTAAATATCAGGTAGGTGGCAGGTCTCCCATGGCTGCTGCTCTGTGAGGAAATTAAATCAGCCACAGCAGCATAAAGCCTCTTCTTGTCATAACTGGGCCATGTCAGGGTTGATCTCTCATCCAGACCCAGGGCAGGAGATGCCTGAAAGGGATTTCAATGCTTGGCCAAGCTGGAGGCACATCCTGTTGCTGGGGGAACAGCCATTCCAGTGGCTCCCAGGTGAAGGGATGCTTGATCTTTGGAATAATGGTGTAAAGGTTTATGTGAAATACATTGTCTGGGTTTTAAAAATACCAGCTTGACATTTAGTGGGACATAAAGGGAATATATCTAGAGTTTAGCTGGTGGTTGACGAAGAATAATAAAAACCGACTACATCTGAAAATGTATTTGAATTCCTGCCAATTGTGCTCTAGCTCTTTTAGCACAACAGTTCTGGAAAAAACAACCGTGGAAAGGGCAGTGTTGAGTTGACAAGGATGAGAGTTTATTCTCTTGACATCATTGTGCTATTATTTCTGGATTTCTTTTTTCCTCATTGCAACTTTGTAAAGGAAGATTTCAATAATAAAGTGGAATAAGAACTTGATGTGAGAGATGAAGAGAGGCAGCTGAATGCCTGGGAATTAGAGTGGGAGACTTGTAGGGTCTCCCATTTCCTTCCATAAATGTGACAGTCCTGATGGATTCTGGAGAAATTTGAATGGAAGTGGATAAGCATCCTATTTCCACAGAAAACATATTAGGGGCTACAGAGAAAGTTGCAAAGGGAAGAGTTCAAAAGTAAGGGAATAACAGAACAATCACTGGAAAGAAGTTTGGAGTAAGAAACTTCTTTGGTGCAGTAAACCTGGGTGAACCTTATTGAACCTGAGACCTTATTTTCTCTTTGGCAACTCATTTCACAGCCTCCCTTCTTGGAGTTGCTACTTGGAGATTTATTTTCAATCATGCAGCATTGGAAATACAGGGAATGAGGCATCCACAGACCTGTGTGCCCAACTGCACAGACACCTGGCTCTGCAAATCTTCATTCTAAATGAGCAGGGAAATTTCCCCTTGGCTTAGCAGACGAGACAAGCCTCTGGGTGATGGCTGGGTGGAAGGGGCTCACTCAGCTGGCTCTGCTGACAAGCCTGACATAACCAGGCTTGGTGTTTCCCTCGTGGCTCTGCTGCACTCCTGTGTATTTTTAGTCACAACTCCACGGCTGCCACCTCCTGCTCTGGCCCATCAGCACGGCCACTGAGCCATGCCTGATGTGGGCACCACGGGGACAGGGGACAGCAGCTGTGGGGCTGCTGGGAGGCACCTGTGCCCAGCACTGGCTCTTCCCCACCCTCTCCAGCTGGGATCCATTGGGATTCTGCCATGGCCAGACTCATGCAAGTCCAGGAGACTGACATTTGCCCAATAATTACTTTTCTTCCTCCTCTCGAGCTCCTTCTAAGTAGCTTTTATTTTGAAGATGCCAGTCTGGACTGCTCTTGAGGGATCTGCCAGGCAACAGCTTTTAGGAACAAGATCATCAGAACACCTTTTTTTTTTTTTTTTTTTTTTGCTTTTGGAGAAAAGAGTTGCATTAGGAACACCTGCAGAAAATTGCCTCAGGGTGCAGTTTGCCTCAGAAAGGCAAGATACTGCTGAGAGCAGATTAGATCCAGCTTACAAATCGCTGCAGGCAATGGGGCCAGAAGCCCTTTTGGTTGTGAGCAGCCACATCTGTGCATTCCCTTCCTTTCTCCCCATTTTCTGTCCACCTTCTCCATCCTCTCTCATGTTCTGAGCACTTTGAGTAGCTCAATTCAGATGTATGATTTTATTTTATAGCTTTTCTGCACTGTTTTTTTGAGGAACATCAGGTATTCTAGAAGCTGGAAACAATTTTTTTACACTAATAAATTAATTGTTGGGAAGAGCTTCAGTTTCACTACAGAGAGACCTTTTGCAGGCAGAGACTGAGGAAGGGTTTGCCCTAAATGGTGGGGGAAAATGACCCTTCTCATACTGAGATTCAAAACTACATCCAAAATGCACATTTAAAGTAGCAGCTGTGTGGAGAGTCAAGAGAATGTGCCCTCATGGTAAGTGGGGCTTACACACAGCCTTCCTTAAAATTAAGGTTAACATGGGATGAATTGGGATCAGTGCTCTGCTTACACCTTTTACTCTAAAACCATCTTTTACCTCTGTGTAAAAACCCATTGGGAAGCACAGAGCTGCTGGCACAGCTTTGCCCTTCCAGCCTGGGATCCCCCAGGGATGGAGCAGGGCTTGGCCCCAGGGTGAGCAGAGTTCAGGGAAGCAATGCCTGGCTGAGCATGGCAAGAGCAAGGGCTGCTCCCTTTGTTTCAGGCTGAATTATCCTTACTTCACCCTTTTACTGCAAATCTTTGGGAATCCAGGGTGGGAAAGGTACATTTCCAAAGTGGATCCAAAATATTTATTACCAGACTGTGAATTTAAGCCAAGTAATAAATTGTATCTCTGTACAGGAGAGAAAATCACTTACAGTTTTCAATTTCCTGATACATGAATGACAATTATTTTTTTTAGGCAGATTTGTCAGCAAGATAATTATTTGAATAAAGACCTAGCACTCATAAGTTGAGAGCACTAGGAAAGGTGAGGCAGTAGTATTTAAATAACCTCTCTAGGAAGTGGCATAAGCTGCTTTATCTCGTTTCCTTGGCTCACATTCCTTTGGTGGCTGTCACATGTTTACCAACCAGCAGCATTCCTTCTTCCTTGGGATGTTAAATCAACAAGCACGTGCAGAAAAAGGGCAAGAACGCCAGCACCACTCCTGTTACTCAAACTCAGGACTGTGCCTCTCTTCACTTTGCCCAGCTCGTGTGAGCACTACAGATTCTAAGGATTTAGCAGACTGTCCCAGGAAGAACTTTTCTCATAACATATTTCAAAGCTTTCTTGGGAAATTCCATCTCTGGTTTGACTCATCTTGCTGCTTTATGTAAGTGTGATTAGGTAAGTCTCGTGTTTGGAATGCTTTGGGGCTATTTCTTGGTGAGAAGATAGCTTTCCTAGTTTGTTACTTTGGAGACAATTACAGTTTGAAAAGAAAATCCTATGTTACCCTCACTTCTAACTTTGGATTTGCATGCTGCTTTGGTTTCCTTGAAATACAAAGATCTTGGAAATTGCAAGGAATGAAATAGGAGTAAGACTTTTCTTCTGTTTTCTGCTTTGACATAATTCTGTTTCCTGCTGTCATTCCAGATTTTATTTTGAGGCAGTAGTAGACCATAATTCTAGATCCATAATGAGTAACAAAAGTGCAAAGTATTTGCATTCCTGTTAAGCAGAGGGCACATCTGATTACTGTGTAAGGGGAGCCATGGGTGCTTGCAGGTGTTTGTGACTGAGACAGAAAGAAAGACAAAGAAAAGAAGGAACTTAGTGTAGCATGATGGCTGTGGGAGAAAACAGCTGAAGGGATCCCAATAAAATAGTAAATAGCTTGGCTCAGTGTGTGTGAAAATATCCCAGGAACAGGCTGCACTTTTTTCTTGTGGTTCTTTATGTCAAGTGCTTTGCAGAGTGTGGATGTTTGCTCATGTGGGCTGGGCTGGAGCATTGGTGTTGCAGAAACCCTTGAAGTGCACAGAATCTATTTTAGTCCATCTCTATTGCATCTCTTCTGGCTAACAGCCACCTCTATCTGCCTCTTCCCTTCTCCTGGCTCTGAAGTGGCACAGCTCTCATTTATCCCTGACAACTGTTGGACATCACAACTTCGGCTTGAAAGAAACTCTGGGTAGATGCTTTGAAACCTGTTAATGCAAATGAATCCTCTGAAACAACTTTGTGTCTGCTTCCATCTGGAGAAGGTCCTTCCATCTGGAAAAGGCCCTTCTCCCAGGTTTTGAAGTGCCAGGGTCCTGCCCTGCATGTTGTTTTCACAAGGGAATTATGGAGGGTGACTTACAACAGCTGTTTTCTCTGAGATCATTCCTGCTCCCCACTAAATCACTGACCACTCTTCTTTTGATTTTCCATGGCCTGTAGAGACAGATGTTTCAGGCCTAAGTACCAGGGTCCATCTTTCATTCAGTTTGGCTGAGCTTTTCAGTTTTTGGCTGAACTCAAGTTCAGTAAAACTGAGGAGTGCCTGGACTAGAAGAAGGTGTGATGTAGGAAAGAATAAACGGGGAAGGCACACATAGGGAATGGGCTGTTCTCCTGGCCACCTAAAATGAGCTGTGCTTCCCTCTTCCTTATGCCTGCAGGATTTCATTGCCTCTCCTTTGTCACAGAGCCCTGGGTTAGCTAAGCAATCACTTCAGTTCCTTCCTTTCTCCACACAACCCTAGTAACTGGTTAACTGGTTTATACCTGTGTGGAGAGAGAAATATTCCCAGGGCCATGGTAGAAGGTGGCAGTAATTGCTCAGCTCTTCACTCAATTAAATACATGACTCTAGAAACTGCTGACATTTTCCCCTCCCCACAAGCATTTGTTTAATGGCTTTTGTTATTGTTAGAACATATTTTCTCAGGGCGTAGGTCACTTGGTCGATACCAGAGGCCAAGAAATCTTCCACAATCCTCTCTCTCTTTGAAATCACACTCTGCTTTATGAGCAGCAGCCTTTTGCTTCAGGCCTCCCTGTTAAATTCCTCCAGCAATTCCTCCATCCTGTTTCTCAAGAATGGGAGCCTGAGGCTGGTGGCTAGCCCAGGTCCCAGGAAGCTGTGGTGAGGCAACCTATGCAGCCATCCTCTTTACCAGGTCAAAAAACATCTGGGGGTCCCTCATGCCACTTGTAGCTACACCAGAAGTTAATCTGGCAGCAAATAACCTGTGTGGAATGAAACTCCATGCAAGATCTGTAGGTTTTGGATTCAGAGAGTTGTGGCTTAGTGTCTTCTGAGATGTTGTAAAGAATGATCCAGGAAGGAAAAGAGATCCTGAATGCCCAAGTCTGCTGGTCAAACACTCTGATTTCTTTTGGCAATTGCACAGAAAGGTCACAGTCAGGGCCATCTTTGGTGATGTAGCTCTGGTGGTTGTTAAATGGAAACTGGTGGCTGTTCATGGATGTGAATCTCATCACCACCACTCAGAAATTCTTGTCTCAGCAGCAGGACTGTAGAACACTCCTCTCTCCCCCTGCTGCTCGTGCCTCTTTTTGTGTCCCCTCAATGCCAGACTGATCGTTTGGATTTGTGGCTGGGCTTAAGTGCAGGGGCCAGAAACCTTCAGTGGAACTTTATAAAGGTTGGTCTGGCTACTCCTTTATAAAAAAATAAAAATCAATGGCTGGTTGTGCTTTCAAGACAAAATTAGCCAGCAAAGCTGCCCCTTTAGCAGTGCCAATTAGAAGTTTTAGAAAAAAGTAGGTGTTCTGTGCAGCAGTTTGACAGCAGGCCCTGATCAAGGAAGGTCGAGAGGCACATGCTTGTCTCACTTTTTCTTTTTGGTCAGAAGTTTGCCACTGGATATATTTAATGGGAGCTGAAAAAGGGACAGAGCAGCTTCAGAAGGCTCAAAACGAGCAGCACCAAGGGGGTGTGCAAAGCCAATATTGGAACCTTTATTTTAATTCCCAAGGTCAGGCAGGGGTTAGGGCGTGGATATTGTGAGGGTCCTGCATCCTGCCAGGATGTGCTGAGTGCAGGTGTGAGGTTGTGGTCCCTTGCCACCCTTCTTCTCCTTTGGTACCTGCCAGGAGATGCCTGTGGCCCACAAGGATCCAACAAATAACAGGTCAAGGAGGAGCCAGGGCTGTGTTCAGAGGGCGCCCTGCTTTCCATTGGCACGTGGCCTGCTCTCCACAGATGGGGAATCGTCTAAATATTAAGAGATTTGGTTTGATTAGCTAAAATCTCCTGTTGGCAGCACATTTCCAGTCCCTGGAGCAATGGAGATCAGACAGGTTGCCAAGGCAACGAGCAGCCTTCAGTGAGAGGTTTACTGTGGCGTCGTCCTTGGTCAATTGATGGAGTAGGGTTTATTTAGGTCTTTGAAAAAAACCCAAAGCTGCTGTCCAGCCTTTTGCTGTGATGAGTCATTGTGCCTTGGGTCAAATTGGTGAAACTAAGACCAAGGTTTTGTGGATGAGAAAAATAAGTACATGGGAGCATAAAGGTCCCAATTAGATTTCTCTTTGAAGAGGTGAGAGCTCTTCAGTTCTGAGTGCAGACAACTTATTCTTTTTCATCCCCCCAAATAAGTGAAACAGCAACTGAGATCCTCCTTTCTTCCCCCTCTCCTCTCATTTCCTCTCTCTCCCAAATGTAAAATACTTACTTTTATTCTCTAGAGGACTCTGTGCTCACTGTTGAATTCTTGACTCATATCAAGGTCCTTCCAGTTTGACCTTTTGTCTCTGCTTTGCTTGTTGCTCTCTGCTCCCTTCTCTCTTCCAGAAGCCTTGGTAAATTCAGCTCATAAAAGTTTCCATTTCATTACATTATTCCTCCTTTTGTATCACCCAGGAGATGAAAATCTCATCATGTCACCACTGTGGCATGTGTGGAAAGTCACTCTGTTCTCTTGTTGCCTGTTAATTGGTCTGGATCCCAAATCAGGGAGTGCATGGGGACAGGAGCATCTCTCACTGTGGCTGTTCCCTGGATTTACTGACACAGCAGAATTGTGCCAGTGGTGGGCACAGCCATCTCCGAAATTTTGGAAGGGGCCTGATTCAATGTTCTCACCAGCCAAGGAGAGAAATGCCATTGTGCTGAGTGTCAGGCCTTAATTTGCATAGTAAGTAATGGTTTCTGTTTTAAAATAATTCTGGCAGTGATAGGAAAGACTCCAAGGCTACAAGGATAACAGGATCACAGGGAGCTGAAGGTGTTTATAGAGGAGACACCATCAGAGTGCCCCTTTTTGTTTCTCTCACTGCAGAGATGAATGTGAGTTGTTCTCAACAGTGGATACCCTGTTAGCTCTGGGAGAAATCACTGTACAAGCAAAGAGTCACTGCATGGTTTAACATGGAGAGCCAGGCTGGCATTTTCTGAGCATGCAGGTGCTGTTTGTTCTCTTTTGAGTGTGGACCTCAGCTGGTGTCATGTAGCATAGGGAGAAGAGAAGGAATTGAAAAATAACTCTAGACACTGCTTGCTGTGAGGGAAAGTCTGACCTTCTCTACAATAAAACCGAGGCATGAACTTTATAGACAGTTACTTGTACGTGAGAGGGGAAAATTTTAAAGGGTGGAGGAGCTTTTAAAAGTCTACATTGGCATCCTTATTTATTTATCCTTTTTGAGAGGATGGCAGCTGATAGATGTGTCACTGTGATGCTGCACAGTTATCTTCTTTCCTTGTCTCAAAATACTGCATTAGTGATACCATGGCAACAAAGAAGTTGTCTTTAAGAAAAGGAAAAAAAAAAAGCGTAACTTCAGTGTTCAAGAAAGGTGGCAGACTGACAGCTCTAGTCTTCCTTTTCTACCAGTAAGGCAGTGTTAGTGTCAGCTATGACAAAAGGTATCAGATTATGATCTCTGTGTTGTACTGTGACTGAAAACAAACCTGGGACACCATCAAAGACAAAGCTACTACAGGGAGAGCAGGCGGAGAACCTTCTGAGAAAAGGCGCTCTTGTTGGACAATTAAATTCTGTTTAAATTATAAATTTTTCTAAGACGTGCATCATCTTGAAAAAACTTTCCTAGACCCAAGTTGTGTCCTCTTTCAGGACAGAATTCTCCTCTGAGCAGTCTGTGAGAAAAAACAGCTGTCCCTTGATACTGTAGTAGTTTTTCCAGAGGCTGGAAAGTCAAAGGATATCTGGAAGTGGCAAGTTGAGATCTCTGTCCTGTTTGATTTATTTGCATTTGAGCTCTCATCTCTGACATGAGAGCCCTAAGCAGCAGGAGATTGGCTTTTAGAGATTAAATTCTTTCATTTGCTCTAATTCAAGTTGTATTTATCATTATCACTGCAGCCATTTTCTTGCTTTTCTATGTCTTAGGTGAAAGCTTTGACCTCCAAGGTAGCTCACTGCTTT